CTACAGTAAAACATATCAGACTGTTTAGTATGAATAGAGTGTGTGTGTGTGTGTGTGTGTGTGTGTGTGAGAGAGAGAGAGAGAGAGAGACAGAGAGGCCTATGAATAACATAAATTAGAAGTAATTGAAGCTGGGGGAAAAAAATCTTACACAATTTAAGAACGTTTTCATTGACAGAGTAAAACATAACTGGTAAAACAATTGTGTATTTTAAAAATATGGATAATAAAGTGAGCATCTTCAGAAAAAGGCCATTACTTGGTAGCCTGGGCAAGTTTGGCAGGTAAGTACATCTCGTAAAAAGTGTGTTGGTGTTAGAAATACCTAGCTGCAAAAAAAGATGTAGAGTGAAGCTGGCAGGATGCAGGGTGCCTGCCCGGGTGGAAGGCTCTAGTTCAAGTGGCCTGGTCCAGCGCTCTGAGGAGGTCTCCTCCTTGCAGGAGCGTGTTGCTTCCTGGTACAGGAACGTTCACCTCACAGTCATATCTGGTCAGTTCAGGCAGCAGGTAGGGCTCAAATGAGGGCCCGAGCAGCCGGCTCGCCATGCCTGAAAGAATGGGTGGTATCATATTTTAGAAACGCAATCAAATATTCAGAAGATAGTCTATTCCGTGAGAGGCTAACAGGGATGAGAAGGGCACATGTGGAGAGCAAGAGGCATTTCTAGTTTTTGTCACTCAGGGGTAGGGTGGGGTAGCCCTAATTTCAACTCTGTTTCTTCAATGTTGTCTTTCCTGAGTGAGCTACTCTGTGCTCTAAGAGTGGAACCAGCAGCGAACGTGTCTGCCTCTGGACCCCTCTCACTGGGTGGGGTGCTGAGCCCCAAGGAAGAACGTGTGCAGTGCAGAGAGCAGTAAGAAGAGGGTTTGGGGGTGTTGCATGGTGGGAGCCCCTACGAAGCGTTCCTGGCCTTGGAGGAGACGTCTGTGAGAGCCTGGGGCGCTGTGCCCACGGTGCACTGGCAGTGGGGAGGAAGGTCTGCGTGGAGAGGGAATGCTGAATCAGCTACACTCTGCACGCGCACCCACGTGTACCGGCCCCACACGCTGAAGGGGAGGGGCAAAGGGCAACCTCACAGCACCCGAACCCTACTTCCCTGGAAAGGAGGCCGAGGCACCCGAAGGACAGATGAAATCCGTCAGCGGGCCCCTTCAATGGGAGGTACCCACTTCCCTTTCCCTCGGCTTATGTGCAAAGGGCCCTCTTCCTCCTCAGCCCCTTCCCACAGCCCACGCCTGCCTTCTCCACTTGACCTGGCTCCCTTGTGGATGGGGGCGGGTCTCACACCTCTCTGCAGCCCCCACAGTAGCCATGGATACTTGCTCATCATCCCTTTCTAATTCCTTCTTTTACTTACTATCAGAAATAAGTCCCCATGATTTCTATAGTTCAATGCTAGTTATCATTTACTAAACATAAAATATACCAGGATTCAACACTTTGAGGGCAAACCCCTCATTTAAAGGCGTGGCTTGCTCGGTCCTCCAGCTGGTAAGGAGCAGAACTGGAATTTAAGCCCAGTGCTGTCAGGTGGCTCTAAAGCCTGGATTCTGAAGCACTGAATAGCAATTTGCCCCAAATCGTAGTGCTTAGGAACTTGCCTTCCTTTAGCAATCATTTTGTGACATCTATGTTTTGCACGATAGTAACAGATTCAGGAGGCCCAGGATGGAAGGCGGGCGTCAGGTGACTAACCCTTCCAGAAGGTCTAGCAGGATGACTGCTCTCAGAGCTTTCCAGGCCGCCCTCCCAGCAGCATGTTCTCCATGCATGTCCTCAGCTCCCGCCTGAACGCAGGGTTACGCCCCCAGTAGATCAATGGGGTATTAGGTGGTACGATAATACGAAGAACTGGGTAAAAAACTCAATCTGAGGAGTCCTCGAGCCTGTAAGAGCACTTGATGTCACCTGATCGTTGGAAGGTTCCTTCTAAAGCCCTGTGGCTGGCCTTCCAGCCCCTGCTGCAATACTTTTGGGGACAGAGGACTCACCCCTCTTAAGGTAGCAGCCTTTTGTGGCAGCAAGTTCATCCTTACACTGAGCTGAGACCTGCTGCTTTGTGATGTCCACCTCCTGGCCCTTGCCCCTCGCACACATCAGACGCTGGCATGGAGGTTCCAATTGCTGAAGGCACCCACCTGACACCTTGTGAGCTGATGGCAGGCTGTAGTCCTGGTACTGGAAGGCACAGCACTGCGGGGGGAACCCACTCTTGGCGTTCTCCCCAGGGCTCAGGGCAGATGGCGGTTGTGGTGGTGGCAGATGTCTCAGAGGCTGGCTCAGGCCCCTCATGGGATTTTGGGTGAACTCATCTGAAAGATCAATGTTGGAGAGTGAGGGGCAGTGCCGACCTGAGGGAGGGAAGAGACCTGAAGCCTCCAGATCCCTTCTTCCTTCACAAAAGGTGCTCAGAGCCAGCCCCTGGGGCCTCGAAGCCCAGAGATTTCTGATGTCATTTGAGCCAGAGTGGGAAGCTGGCTGTAAGGCAGGTAAGCCAGGTGGTGACTGAGTGGAGGAACCAGGATAGACCTCTGGGCCTCCAGGCCTTCTACCTGCAAATGTCTTCCTTGCCACCCAACCCCAGGAGACCCAGGCTGGTTTCTCACCACTAGAGACGTTTTCATTCAGCGGCTTGTCAGGCATCAGAGGGCAGTTCCCACAGCCCCTGAGACTCTTCATCCTTTTCCACATCAAATGTGAAGTGCTGCTTCCCGGAGGGTCCCCCTGGGTGTGAGAAATGAAGTTGTAGAGAGGAGAGGGCCCTAGAGTTGGGGGTGGGGTGGGCTCAGAGCAGCTGTGCTTGGAATGGGGCTGGTGCTCACTCTTCCTGAGAGGCCGCGTCCCCACCCGCCCTGCTGCTCCTGGCCAGCACTCTGAACCTCACAGAGGTAACAAAGAGCGTCCAGCCAGCCTGGATCTCATCTCTCAGCCCCGACTCCCCGCCTGACCTTCCCTCGTGGACAGAACCCGTGGCGGCGCCAGTCAGGAGATGGCTCACCCCATTCGTGTCTTGGAAGGCTTGCTCCTCATACTCCAGCTGTCGCTTCAGCTTCAGCTTGTTGGAGAGCGCGACCATGGCCGGGCTCATCGCATCTGGGCCCTGAGGCCTGAAGCCCTTTGCAGACCTGCCAAGCCCAAGAGAGGGGGCCGTGAGGGAGTCTGGAGCCCCACACCATCCCATGTCTTTACCTGATCTCAGGGCCCTCGGAGGGCCCTTCCAGAACTAGTATGTATAATTTGGTGGCTCTGAGACCCAAAAGGCAGAGTCCCAGAGAAGGGGCGTGGGCCTAATTCGGCTCTGCTACCCTTTCTTAGTTTCCTCTACCTAGTGAGATGCTGACAGTTCAAGTCTGCTGGATTTCCCTCCACCTGCCCCGCTGTACCTAGGCAGCCTTCAGGCCTGACCTTGTTTGCAGCTGCCTAGCTAGGCGACATGAGGCTTTAGGAGGGTTTCTTCTGCCCCATCTCCCCCTGCACTGCTCAGATTGCTCCCACTGAGGACTGGTGAGGCTGCTTGGCCAAGGGCAAGTGCCCCAGGGCAGCATCACCAATGGGCCCTGGGAGCTGGAGGTCATATGCCAACCATTGTGCCTTAGCCCAGTGAGGTCCAGCGGTTCCCATGGGGCTTGTCGGGGGAGATTTGAAGGAGCCGGGAGAAGGCAGGGCAGGGAAGGCACTGCTAGACCCTGAGCAGGGGAAGGGCATGGCATCCTTTCACTTTTCCCAACCAGGGTTCTATGAGAGAACCGAGGAAATCACTCGGATAATGTTTCTGTGTGTTCTGTGGCTCAGATCATGAACTCTAGATGAAGAAGGCACTCCAAGGGGTGGTCTGAGAGAGACATCGGTGTTCAAGGCCTGGACAAGTTATTTCTTTCCCTTTTCCTGTCCCCAGTCCCCTCTCGGTCTCCTCTAGCCCTGATAAAAACACATTCCACTTGAGGCCTCGCAGCCCTTGGGATGGTCCTCCACAGCCTAAGCTCTCGGAGGTCAGAGAAAGGACAGCTGGAGGACCAGCCGTTGTGGCGTGGGAGTTGGTGATGGGGCAGGAAGCCTTTCTGGGCCCCAGATCTCCCTCCGGCGGGTGCCCATCTGCCGCTTCCCTGTCCAGCATAGCCTTTGCTGACACATGGAAGGGGTCACTGCCACTTACCTCTTCTTGAACACGGAGAGGTGGGGCGAGGTGCTGGGGGGCCCCAATGGTGATGCCCCCAAGGCCTCAGTGTGCTGATTCCCAACAGGCCACTTTGTGGGCCTGAAATGTAACGGTGGGTCAGGGGGCCACTGAGTGTTGAATCTGCCTCCCAAAGAAGAGAGAGGGGTGCTGGCCTGGCCACAGCATGGTGGCAGGGACGTCTTGCTCCCTCCATCAAAGAAGATGGAGGACATGGGCTGGTGCTCAGGCTCTGTCTTCTTGCTTTCCAGCTGCTGTTGATACTTGTCCAGGAGGAAGGGGCTATGAGGAGCCATAGGGGCCAGTGGCTGGAAGATGTTTGTCATGGTACTGAAGCAGTGCTGCGGGGTAAACTGAGGGTTCTCCGGCAAGAGCCTCTCCTCGGGGCAGATGGGGCTTAGCTGGAAGTCTTCTCCATCCATGGGGATGTAGGGTGCCAGCGTCTCCAAGTCCAGCTCATTGAAATCCATCTGCAGAGACACAGAGCAAAGACAAAGAAGCTCAGCAGTTGGCGCTGCCTCCCACACGACTGCAGCTCAGCCTTTCATCACTCTCTGCCCTGCCAGAGTCATTCATCCCAGGCACAGCTCGACGGGGGCAGTCCCCTACTCTAATGCCATTGCTGGCTCACTACGGCCCACCGGAAGGAAACTCGGACTCCTCTTCTAGCCTTCCCATGTGGTTCATCCCTTGTTCAGCTTGTGTCACATGTCTCCACTTTCCACTCAGACATCCCTCCACGAACCACACTGGTGTCACCACCCCCACTCAACCCGAAATGCTCTCCTCTCTCCACTCTACCTGCCCGAATCCTGCCTTCCCTCACATGGCCTGGACAAGCCCTCCCTCCTCCACAAAGCCATCCCTGCCTACTCTGGCCCACGGTGACTGCCCTGTCCCTGTCTTTCCATGACACTTAGGCCTGTGGCACACAAAATGACTCCTGGAGAACCAAGGGCAGCTCTGTCCTCCTCTTCTTCATATGCCCCGGCTGGCAGAGGCCTAGAGAGTCAATGCCTGGGAGACATCTGTGGATTCCTCATAAGGTGACAGCTGGCCCCAGTGGTGGAGGGACTTTCATTCTAATCAGCAAGTCTTTGGAGATGGCCCCTTAGTTCCCCAGTCTCATGATGGACTCACAAGTAGATGCAGAAAAAAGTTTCTACCCTCATAGAATGATACCCTCGCTGGGAGGATGCTACTTAATGTACTGACGATTACAACTAAACAAAACAGTTAAAGAACAGAGCAGACAGCTATGATCAAGGACTAAGTAATAAATCCTGTAGCAGTTCAGAAGGGAAAGAAGGGAGGGCTGAGAGCGAAGGGCTGAAATAGGGAAAGTTTTGCAGAATAGTTGGAACTTGTGCCAGGCAGATACGAGCTGAGGAGCAAGGTGGAAATTTGGATGAATAACTCAGACTATGACAAATGGGAATTAATGGGTTTTCTGAAACATGCACCCGTCCACCTACCTCAGCCCTGTTACACAGTTTTTGCAAGAACATTTAGCCTACTGTAATAAATCCTTTCCTGAAAAGTTGTATGTAAATGAAAATTTATGAATCAGATGTCATTTTTAAGTGCTTCTAAAATAGAAGTTATTTCAAAGAACCCTATGATGATTATGTTTATGAAGGGAGTAATTGTTCCCTATACTTATAAATGTCTTATGCATCTGGATGTACTTTTTAAAGAAAGATTCGGTCTTAATTTTGGTTTTTGTGCACAAAGAAAGCGTTCTCAGTAAGTAGGAGATAAACAAGGTGAGAGTTAAAAGTAGAAGAGCTGGGTTTGACACGGGTAAAGCAAAGGCCAGTGGTTAGATAAGGGGACACCACAGACTACACTCCCCTGCACTCTCACCCACTTAGGGACCGTGGCCTTGGCTAAGCATCTGGACAGGTCTCCACAACAAAGGGACAAAGCTGCAAGAATGGACACCAGCCTTCACCACCACCAGCTGGCCAGCATGGCACACCACTTAACCTCCATGGCCACCTACCTGGGTGCTGCACTGGTCCTTTGCCTCAGTATCCATGGCAAAGAGCTTCTCGATCACTTCAATCTTCAGGTCATCATTCAGAGATGTGTAATAGTCTTCAGGGCTGCTGGGCTGGGGGCCAGGAAGGAGGTTGACCATGTCAAGGGTATGACACTGACCTCCCTGAAGTCCAAGGTGAAAAGAGAAATACCTTCCTGGACCTACAGATCAACTCTATTCTACGAACAAGTACTTGCAGAGGGACCACTCCCTGCAGGCTGTGTGAATTAGGTCAATTCATCAACCTCTCTGAACCTCAAACTCCTCCTTATAAAATGAGCCTATCTTGAGGAGCAAATGGGATAAAGGCTGTGGCCGGCAGGGATCTAGAAACTGTACACTCTGTGCCCTGAGCATGATGATTACTGCCTTACACAGGGAGGGAGCCAGGGGCTCAGAGCTGTGTGCGACTCAGCCCCTGCCTTTAAGGAACTTATCACTTAGATAGGGGTGGGATGGGTACCAACAGCAAGCAAACAGCTTGCATACCTGGCAGGTAAATATCACCACCTCTCTAGGGAGCTCCAGGATAACCTGAGTAGGAAGAGGGGAGTATTTCTGTCCAGACTATCCAGCAATCCCACAGCAGCCAGAAGGAGTAGCCCACCCTCTCCATGGCCCCCAAGAGGGCCTGAGGGGCCCTGGCTCACTCCAAGGGGGCCTCACCGTGGAGCAGCTACTGCTGCTGGTGGCACTAGGGCTGGTGTTCCGCGGGACGGCATCCTGGGGCATGGTGAAGGCGGGCAGGACCCTGGCCTCGCTCTGGGTGCTGTGGCTCTTCAACTCCTTGGCCCATGTCTGGCTTGGGGGCAGGATGGTATTACCATAGGCTGAGGACTCCTCGAAGCTCTGGCTCCCTGTGGAGACAAGAACCTGGCTTGGTTAACGCTCACATCCACTGGGCTCAGCCCTCAGGGTAGAGAAAGCCTAGAGGTGCACAATAAAACACTAAAGGTTCTAGAAATCATGCCTGGGGCTAGGCCCTCAGCATTCTGAGGCATAGCTGGGACAACAGGGACTTTAACTGGGGCTCTGAGTCAATGTATGGACTCTCTTTCAAAAGGACACCCTCCTGGAGCATTTACTTTTCAGAGATGAATTGTATTAGGAGCACTCTTCCTTGAAAAGCAATCTAGGATGGAGATGAAGAGGTCGTGAGAGGAGAATCAGGCAGTTAGCCTCAGTGCTGCCACAACACGGTGAGCCTGCATGACTTCTCATCCCGGGGCTGTCCTTTGTAATTCTCTGAAGTTGCGATTCTCACATGACCTCTCAAGAATACATCTAAAGTGCTGAGACAGTCCAGAGCAAGCACAGGGACATGCACTTATCCCTCCAGCAGCCACGGCAAGGCCGTGGGTCACACACTGGGGAGGAAGGGGTGCCCAGGTACACATGAAGGGTGCTTCCAGCACGGCGGTGGGGCAGGGCCTGAACTCTATCTGGGAATGCAAGGACTCAACGTGCCCATGGGACAGGCACACATTTTAAAGGGACAGTAGCTATGAAGGCTGAATTTGGGCCTGATTCTTTTCTCCTTCCTTGTTTCCGGAATTATTTCTCCCGACACTATTTTATCCTAGCCCTCTGCTTAAACAAGCAATTTGTCTCTCAAGGCCCAGGTGGAGATCGGCCCTCTCTGGTGAAATCGAGCTAGAGGCCTTGGAGCAGATCTCTTGCTGTTCCCTCTCCCATCTCAGGCCCCGACTGCCTGTGGTGGAGATGTGACGCCCCAGGAGGGAACCCTCCATAAGCCTGCCGGGTTCAGCACTTCGAGAGGTCAGAAACAGGACCTCTTAATCCGTGGCGGATGCGTGTGTTGCTCTTTTGCACCTAGCGCAGAGTCTGGGCACTAAGAGATGATTAGTGAGACTTGGGGGGAGGGACAGGGCAGCTCTGGTGAAGGAAAAGCTATAGTCAGGGAGGCCTGTTATGGTAAGAACCTCCCCGACCCCAAGAGGGTGCAAGGGGCCCCGGCTCAGCTGAGAAGCACCCACCAAAATCCAGAGAAATGATGGCATCTCCCGCAGTGGGGGCCAGCTGGGCCAGCTCCTCGGGCTCCTCCTTCAGCTTGGTGAACAGGAAGTTACTCTTCTCAGACACAGTCATCTCGCCATTGTCGTCGAAGATGCTGTTCATGGCCATCAGGTGCGGCTTGAACAGGGATTCCGTCTGGTCCATGGAGAACACCACGTCGTTCTTCTCGATCTCACTGATGAGACAAGAGGGTGCTTCAGACCATCCACATTTTCTAACAAAATCCTTTTGCTCCCCAGACACATGGAAACCCTGATGGCTAAGCCTCTCAGCCAAACACATGGGTATGGACACTGTGTCGGTATTTTGTAAAGAACTACACAACAGAAGTTTGAGTTGAGATAACGATGCTGAAAGTGCCCTCCAACTATGAATTTGTCTTAGATACTATTCTATTATCAGATACTGCGTGGTGTGCAAAGATTTGAAGATTTTTGCTTCACCCCAGCAATGACTACCCAGCTTTCTTCCTGGGTGCTCCAGAGCGAAGGTGTTATATCTTTTCCCAAAACACATGAACAATTCTCTTCCCTTTCTCCCTATTCAGAAAATACTTATTAAGTGACAACTGTACTCTGCCTCTCTACGTGAGTCAGAGCATGTCACAGATGACACACTAGGGGAAAAGGGTGAAAAAGCACTGTGGAGGGGATATCCTCGGTGTCCCGCTGTGCCCGAGACATCCACGGAAGTCCTCTCATCAGCAATGCGATGGGTTCGCAAGGAGCCCTTGGTGAGGCTGGGCGTCGGTGAGGCCTGCTGTCCTCAGTCTGGGAGCTCGGGCACCCCGCACACCCAGCCCTCCACTAGCCCTCATGCACTCACCTCAGGACGTAGTTCACACACATGATGCACTGGGGCTGCAGGTTGCGAGGATTGTAGATGACCGTGCCCTGTGTCTCCAGCCACACATAGCCCCCATGCTTGGCCAGCATCCGGTACTGGCCGCTCACCACCTGGCCCTTAGTACACACTAGGGGAGAAGAAATGGAGGCGGAGGTCAGGGAAGTGGGGGAGTACTGACCTCACAAGAAGGGCGATCTGT